AACGGTTTAATTTTACAGTACACTAAGTCAAATTTCCCACCTTTCCAGAGCACTGAAAACCGGCTAACAGTTATTAGCCGAGTGACTGAGCAAGAACTGCTTCTCCTTTGCCCAGTTCATGAGCCATGCAGAACAGTTGTGCCACTCGCCCGCCGTTGTCTTGTACACGAGCTCGGATGCGTATGCTCGCCCACGCGGCGAAGGGTGGCCCGCGACGGACAAGACCGCCTGGGCAGCAGAAGCCTAAAAATCTACAACCCGCGACGGCCCATAGGCTCAATCCCTCAGTTAGCAGACACTCCGAGCGCTAAACTATTTGGCCTTGAATCCGAAGGGCAAGCTTAGAATTGAAATCGTGGGATTCCGGGATGTTTTTTTGTGCTCAAGAACACCAAGGAACGTCGAACGCAGAGGCATCCGCCCCCAGACGCAGAAGCACGTCAGCGACTTCTGGAGAGGCCTGGAAGAGTCGCCTGATTACCTGTCAGCGGGCTCCCTCAAAGAAGCCCTACCTAGAACCCTGTGTAGAAACGGAAACCCGCGAACCATTGGCTCCTTGAAGGAACCTCCAAAAGGAAAGACAACACACCAACCGGCCTCCGCACGAGGTATCGCCCACTGCTCAGAGCCTTTCACGGCCGGCGGCGCCTTCGGACCCACAGCGCTNNAGGGCCTCCAGCAGCAGTTGGCGGGCCTCCATCAGGCGACTTCGTTGAAGGCAGCGCCTTTACAGGGGTCTGCCGCGACGGTGCTGCCTTTGGTGGGGCCCAGGGGGGGGGGGCGAAAAAGCAAAGGCCATCTCTAGCAGGCGGTGGTCCTTTCGGTGCTGCTGCAGCGACTGGCGGCTCCGCCTTCGGCGGCGCTTTGGCTGGGGCGTCCTCCACGACTGGTAAAGCCTTCGCTGCTGGCGCTTCGACTGGGGCATCTCCAGCGACTTTCTGTGCTGAGCCAGGAGCTGGAGGAGGAGGCTGGGCATCAGCGACGACTGGATCCTGCTGAGCGGCGACTGAAGGATCCTGCTGAGCGGGTGCCGGCGACTCCTCTTCCTCTACGACGGTCCTTGGAGCCTCGGTCGCCGCCCTCGTCGGACTCGAAAAGGGGATCTCTGGCGGAATCTCTCCTTGAAAGCAGCCGTCCTGACCTTCAAAGTACTCAGCCATCCTCTCATTTTCTGATGCCGTGGGTGTGGCCAAGTCCCGGACAGCAGTCGCACCAGCAGCAGAAGCCACACCAGCAGAAGCCGCATCGTCATCATCGCTGATCGTCGGCGACTGCATATATAGCGCCGGCGGCGGCGCTTTAAAGCTGGGCGACTTCTTCGGCTCCGCTCGGCTCTGCGGCGACTGCTCCTGCCGGAAGGGTCTTTGAATCCTCAATCAAACCCTTTCTTAAGACTCTATATCCACACTCGAACCTAAACAACCGAATCTACTTTGGACTCTGATACTCCTTGCCAGGATCATCGGCCACCAACTGAGGAGAGGGGCTCGCTGCTTCTTCAGGAGGATGCTCCTCTCCGCAGGACCGGTCCGTGTTTCAAGACGGGTCGAATGGAACTATAATCATCATCAATCCCCACTTTAATCTCACTTGCGTCTGCTAGTATAAATCAAGTTGATCACTGCAGTCCTCGTCGCCATCGCACATCAGAAACGCCAGAGATGCCATCGACTCTAGACTAGTTTCGCTGATCTGCGGTCTGCGACTGCGTCTGTCTGTCATGATGCTTCACATGCGACTTCTCGTCGCTGGCTGAATCGACTGCGGCAAAGAAACAAAGGTCGCTCAAACCCAAGGCGGTGCGGCAAGCGCAAGAAGGCACTCGAATATGCGACATGTGCCAGTAATGCTGCCAGCAGGGTGGCCTGCTTCGTCGACTGCTGCAGATTCTTCCGCCAGCTGGACCTGGCCCATGCAATCGGTCAGTAGCCACGACTGCTGGAAAATTCAACGACCGACGTCGAAAAGTTCAAAAGGAAGCGCCTTGTAACGAACGGTAGACAAGCAGAAAACAAACAAAATCTGCTAATGCATAGATAGCATGGCAACCCCTAATCTCCAGCAATCTGACGTCCACAATTGAAGCCACAGCACACCCCAGTCTAGCCAAGCTAATCAATAATAATGAGACACAGCCTGCCAACCTTGCTAACAGAAGACTAACTTCCGCAATCAATTGAAGCTACAG